CTAAATGCGATCATATCCGCTTCCCTTTCAGAGTTTATATATAAAACAAATAAATTACAATAATTGTTTCCCTCTTCAAATTTCCCCCCTCAAAATCCACATCACCCCTAACAGAAAACAATTCCCCTCTGACACTCTTTTTCCCAAGAGCCACACTCGTGGGAAAGCCCGCAGCCCATCACGCGTGTCGTTGGGAAGTTCCTTTTGCCGTTGGGGAATTGCGATGCGCATGTCCGTTTCCTTTCTTTTTTTCCTTTTTAAACCTTCGGACATTGCGGTATTTGCCCTCTGGCACCTCCCATTATCAGGGATATCCCGTGAGATTTTCCATTTGCGCACAACGCCATGCTGGATCAAAATTGCGCAAACGAGATGCCGAGAACGCGTAATGCTGTAATTGGGCACCCCTTTGGGTGAGGAAAAACGTACCCGTTATCATCCACCCCGCAAAATTCCCGCGGCAATGGGGGCAAGATTCACTTCTAAACAGTTACCCCTTACCGCAAAAGAAGGGTGTAACCCAAGGGGGTGGGTTCAGAGGGCAGCGCAATCGTCCGGGTGAGACCGCAGGCGTGCAATGAACGCGTCTGCCAAAATAAATTCTCCTAATTTTTTTTTTGCTTTATTTTATCGGAAACAAACGGGCGCCAGAGACCCCCACTTTAAAATTCGAACTTGAACACAGTGCCTTCCTCAAGTGGGGAAAAGGACGGGGGTGAGGCGTTACAGAATATTGAAAGAGAATCGTTTAGACCATTCGAATGGGGTCATTTTCTTTTTTTTTCCGCGTGTGTGCGCGGACCGTCGGGCGAAATGCATTTCCAGTAATGCAGGAATGCTTCTCACTCTGTGCAAAGTCGCAACTTGAACGAGGTAGTGCCTGGCAGAGAGTGTGGGCACGTACACGTGGTCAAAAGCATAGCGTCAGAGTCAAGAAAATTATGAGGATTCACTCGCGCATTAAAATCCATATCAATGGCGATGAGTGTGGATCGCTAGAAAGGGTATCCTATCCAATATGCTCCAACCATCCTCCACTTTTTTGAACAACCAATAATAATAATAAAACGACCTCTGCATCAGCAGAAACCATAAGAAGAAATAACCATAAAATAATATTGGTCACAAACTATTTTCGTAATGTTGCAGTATTATTTTTTTCATTTTCCCTCTTAACCCTGTACCAAATCTCTTCCTTTGTTGATGTTTGTGTTGTTTTTCTGTATTATTAATATTTGGAATTTGCATGCAGAAACACACTGAGAATTCTTTGCAATATGAGGTGTGTCCGCTCACTTTATTTCACTTCCCTCTTCGCCCCAGCACCGTAGCGCAGACTCCTATTAAGTATTTTCCGCAACGCTGGTAAATTAACGTGGAGAGTTCACAATT